ACACATACAACTAAAAACTTTAAGCATTCAAAAATCAGGTTTTTGTTTATAAAGAAGCTTAAAAGGTGTTTTATTTGAAATAATAGGAGAACGTACACAATTAATTAAGAAAATAGTGTGTTTGATTGCATAGGACTAAAAATTATTTAGTATTTGGGATTGAAACAAAAGAGCGCTAGCAAGGTTCAAGATGTGTTGGTGTTTTCATTCTACCCTTCCATTTTGTTGAGGAGTGTAGACATAACTTATTTGTTGGATTGTTCCTTTTGATGAGAAAAAATCTTTTAGAAAAAATTCCGGTCCATTGTCTGATCACAAGCACTTAATAGTAGTTTTGAATTGATTCTCTATTAAGGCAACAAAATTTTGTATATGAAATTTGACTTCAGCTTTTGATTTTAGCAAAATAATCTCAGTATATTGGCTAAAGTCATCAAGAATAGTTAAAAAATATTTATGGCCGTATATAAAAACTTTAGAGAAAGGATCCTAAATATCCATATGAATTAATTCAAAGGCTTCAAAGCTTCGATTAGTACTAAGAGAATAAGGTAACTTTCTTTGTTTTGCCAAATGACAAACATCACACACTTAATCAAAGTATTTAAAAATAAAAGGGGACTCAACATGTAAAGCATTTAGACGATTTTTAGACAAATATCCAATCTAAAATGCCAAATTTTTGGATTGTTGATGGAATTGGTGTTGATAGTATTGGCTATGGAAGGTGAGTTGAAGTGTGAGCCATTTTCTTTGTCAATTACCAAATGATGAAGCCCATTTTTAAGCTCAACTGAACCAATCATCTTCGACATGCTGGCTTCCTAAATTTTTCAAAAATTATTAGAGAAGGTTATCAAATATTGAGAAGTAGAAATTAATTTAGGAGTAGATAAAAGGTTAAATGTAAAATCAGGAACATATAAGATATTATGTAAAACAAAGGTGGGTGACAAATAAATGGTACCAAAAATTTGGGCTTTAACGAAAGTTCCATTAGGAAAATTAATATTAGTGTCTTATTTATGAATATGTATTAGAATATTGAAGTGAGCAAACAATGTGGTTTGTTAATCCAGAATCAATAATCCAAGGTGTGGTGTGTGACTTGGTGGAAAGAGAAAATAAAAAAGGGTACCAAGAGAGTAAGAAGAACACATTGGGTTAGAGTAAGAGATGTTGGCCCAAATTGGCATCTTATCCATATTCAACATTTACTTGAAGAAAAGCCAAAAGTTGTTGATATTGGGTCTAAGTGATATTGGGTCCATTTCTATGTTAAAAAGTTCCAGTATCCTTTGGATTATCTTCTTCATGTATAGGGATGACAATAGGTAAAGTATTCGATGAGCTCAATTTTATGTGAAATTATATAAGATTAATATAAAAATATATTTAATAATAAAGTAAACAAAAAAATTATTTTGTTTTATATTTTTAATAGAAAAATTTATTTACTATTTTATATCGTTTAATTAGGCTAATACAATTTAATTATTACATAGTTGATATGAGATTGACTTTTTTTAAAAAAATTATTTATATATGACACACATAAAATATTTTTCATCCAAATATTTTTGTTAATAAAGTCATATTGATATTTAAATCATAAAGTAAATGATAAATAATAAACATATTGTAAATATTTTATAAATTTTACAATTACCTACTATTACTGGAAACTTATTATTTATTGATAATATTTAAATTTTATTTTTTATATTTTAATTTAAAATAATATTTTTTATGCAACATATGCATTACAAGCACAAATATAATCTATTGAATCTAAATAATATTATTCTTACTATTTATTTATGTTCAAAGAAATTTCTGAAAATATATAAAATTATTGTTAATTTTTATTTATTAATTTTTTCTTTAGATAAAAAAGTATAATTTTTTTTATACACACATATATTTCTTTATTATAAAATTTTATTGTGACTATTTATCTTTTATTCAAATTCTTTCTTTTAAAATTTATATATATTATAAATATTTAATTTATTAAAATAATTTTTTAAAAATTTGTATTTTTGACAAAATAATTTCGTATAATATATGAGTTAAAAATACTAGTATTAATACATATATATATATATATATATATTATTTTAATTAAATCTATTATTTTTCTTACAATTTCAAATTCAAAAATTAAAAAAAATATTTTATATATTCACTTCTCGTTGTTAGGACTTGAACTTCTCTGTTCTAACTCTACTCTCATTCTCAATGTCTGTCTCATTAAAACTCGACAACTACGAAATCTTATTCGTTAGAGTTTGTTGTCAATGTCGCCACAAGAAGTCACGAAGTGATCCCACATGAAGGACCATCCATTGTGCAGATGTATTTTGTTGTCACTCTGGCATTGCCGATCGATCAAATCTCACACAAGATAGGGTTATCGCCGACAAATAACTTGTGTGTTTAGTTTTGCTTATTGTTTCTAAGAATTTTAGTTTAAAAAATTATTATATTAAGATATATTTAGCACTTGTGATATTTGAATATTTATTTTTTATCTATATTTGTACCTTATTCAACAACTACATATTAAATTTTTGTATTATTATGCTACTTATGTGAAATTATATAAATATATTTTTTTTATAAATATCTTTTTCACAAACAAGCGCGCAGGTAATGGGTACAAGATAGATATGCGGGTATCCAAAAGATACAGGTACATGGATTACTGTTCATACCCACACGAGTATGGGGTTGGGTACGGATATTTTTTTAAAACAGGGGTATGGAGATGGGTACTATAGTACCCTACCCATACCCTACCCATTGCCATCCCTATCCATGCGTTAGGGTTTTGCTCCCTTCTCCTATAGTGCTGTTGTTGATAGAATTATCAGCGCTTCCAAAGGGATGATTCTTGTTGAGAGAACGTGGTTGACCTGGATATTTTGGATGACCAAGAGGTTATCCAAATTTTCCATAACAAACGTTGATAGTATGCCCATTGCGTCCACGATGGTCGCATTTGGGAGTGGAATTTCTTTTCTTTTGGTAGTAGACGTCTATAATGTGATTGAGGCATCCACAGTAATCACATTTTTTGTTCGTCCTAGCCCCTTGACTGTTGAGCACTGTGGCCTTTACTAGAAACTGCGTTGATGAATAGATTGACATCATTGGAAGTAGATGTCGTGTGCTGCCTCTCATGTTGGATTATGCGATTTGTTGAAGGGAGAGGGTCGAGAAAGATTATTTGCAACTGAACCATGGAGAAACGACCATGAAAAGCTTTCAAAAAACGTATGATGAAGTCCAGTTGGTGGAATTGCTTAGTTGAACAAAAGTAGGAGATTAAAGGGCGAAAGTTATCCAACTCCTCTCAAAGGGAATTGAGGTTAATATAGTAATTTGTGACAGAATTAGGTCCTTACTTTAGAGAGTAAATTTCCTCCTAAGCTCATCCACGGAGAATCGTTCTTGGATATCATTCCAGATATCAACAACATGTTATAAAAAATTGACACTTTGAACAATGAAAGGTGATAAGGAATTTAGAATCCAGGACATGAGAAGAGTGTTGCACCGTTTCCAATAAAGATATAAAGGATCAGTGTGGGAAAGAGTAAGGATGGATCCTATGAAAAAATCCATCTTGTTTTTAGATATGAAGGCCATACGAATGGACCAAGACCAAGATTGGTAATTGTTCGCAAAAAGAGGAGGGTGACAATAATAGAAGATGCACTTTTGCTTGGGTGAATGTGATATAAGCTAGATGAGTTTTATCTAGGATCAATGAAGAAGGAAGAGGCATAGTGTTGTCCTCATCCCTTAATGAACCACTATTGTTTGACGATGTTATAAAACCTTAGAGACTCTTGATACCATTACAAAAAAGGAATAAAAGTATATACTTTCTCATATATTTATGTAATCAAATGATTACAATATATAAAGCGATTAATCTAAGAAAAAGACAACGAGAATAAAAAAAAGTAAAGCATATTCCTACATTATGTGTATTATATATAGCTCACTAATTCTAGAAGTTATACAATTCAAAAAATAGGAAAAAATTTAGAATGACAAAATATCAAAATTAATTTTAAAAATTTAAATTTATCAAAATTATTATTAAATTGAGATAGAACTAGATCGATAAAAGGAGTTATCAACACCTCGTAGGAGGTTTATAATTAAACTCTCTTCTGACATCATTGAGTTTATATTATAAATTTCATTGAGATTTTTAATCATATATACTCTTCTAGCCCTCTTTTTAAGCGTTGAAGCAAAATATTGTGAAAGAATTAATTTGATAACGAAGAAAATAAATGATGAATTTTTACAAGTTGAAACAGGAAAATTGAGAAGAAAGAGATTTTTGTTTGAAAGAGTAACTTTATTAAAAATAAATTAAAATATTAAAGTGATGAAATACACTGGATGTTAATAAATTTTAAAAAATAGAAATAAAGAATAAAATAAATAATTGGATATAATTGGTTAAACTTTTATATTTTAATATTTTTTATTACAGTTATTTTTTTCTTCTATTTTCTTTTTTTACTTTTAAGATAATAAGATAGAGGTTGATTTAAATATGATTTACCGTAATAATACATCGATAGACAAAGCAAGTACGACAAACTAGCTGAGTCACCTGTCATTTTTCGCTTACTCACGTGAGAGTTAGCCGATCCTCTGTATACAAACTAATCCATTTATAATTTATTAATCATTTAAAAGCTGTTGACCAAAGTGTTCCTTTTATTAACTATCCATATAGCCTACTTAAGACATACAAAATTCATAGAAGACAAACAGGACCCGATTTATTCTCACTCTCATCGTGCATGTGACCAAATATCTATATTTTTTTTTTATCTGTAATAGTACATAAACGTAAGGAAAACTTAATGAACTAGCAAGGGTCCACGATGGAATGTCTCAAAAGATGGGAGATACATGCATACAGTGAGGAAATCAAAGGTTCATTAAGGTTGATGCGTGGTAAAATATCAAGGGCATTTGGGTTTGCCCTTAGAGTTCTTCATGTCCCTGTAGCAAGGGCACTCGTGCTTGTTCCCATACGTTCCAGACGGCACACACTTGCATTTGGTGCAGCAGATCCCGCAGAACCTTAGGCACCTGTCCTTCATCCCGGCCCTAGCGCACCTCTTCGCGCACATAGAGGAGCAATAACCTGATTCACATCGCACCCGAAATAATAAAGATTATGTATCTAAAAATAATATATATTAAAATATAATGTTTTGAAAAAATCATAAAAACATGAAGTTAACAAATTATAGTTAATGATTCTTAATACAGGTATATAAATTCAAAATTGGAAAGAGTAAAAATTATTAATTTTTAAAAATTTATTTTTCATATTCCTGTAATTATTAAAAAAAATCTCATATTTTAATATTTTAATTTATTTTTCCCATATAAATAAAAAAGAGCCATATGTAATATTGAAATGTATGTATAACAAAAAGTACCGTTGTCAGTTGAAATAAAACTCAAAAAATATTGCTATCAAGTATTAGGAAATCAATTATGTTCTTTTAACAACTTAAAGATTTAAATTATATACAATTATTTTTTTATATAAATATCCTAAAACTATATTTAAAAGTTCTTCTCAACTGGTATCTTAAAAGCGTTGCTTGATTAAAGAGTGTATATTTTCATTAGAAATTATATTGAAATACATTCAAATTATTTACATGAGCGTACTTTTACAACTTTTGAATAAATTTTTTAATTATTTTTTTTATATTTAAAAAATTGTTAACTTTTACTCTTAGATTGAAAATAAGGAACTGAAATAATAATAATATATTTAAAATAAAAATATTAACTAAATTGAGGATAAAAAACTAAAATAATAAACTTTATTAAAAAAAATGTAATTATTACATTAAGAATGTAAAAATATGATAAATATTTATTTTCAATAAAAATTTAATACATTTACATACTTAAAATTAATATTCAATATTAAATTAACAAAATCATAAAATATAAACGGGTACCTTTAAATATCCTTAAATAGTACAAAAAATGTTAGTGGGAGAGACACCTAAGTATCTTCTGTATATTATTAAAATATACATATAAATTACTGTTTTTTTAAAGAGAAAAAACAGTAATATATATTGTATCATATTCAGTGTAAAATTTTAATAATTTAAATAACACAACTGTAAGCTGTATGTAAAGTGCAATACTACTACTAATTATGCTCAAGGCTAAGGCATACCAGATCTAGCCATGGACACTTCAAACAAAGAGGAGCTGAGGACAAGGCACATAAGTAGCACAGCTGCAAATGCTAGCTTCATCTTGGTTTCGCAGTGTAGAAAAGAGAAAAGAGGGAGGAGAAGTATATCTAGATGTGATTGTGATGAAGGGGGTATGGTAGTTAATTAGAGTGGCACGCGATGGAGCAGAGGACGAACTCTGAATTTTGAAGCTTATTTAGGATGCGGTGTGAAAGTGTGAGCCAGTGAGTGGGGTTATTTATAGTAACAAATAAAGGGTAGGTGAAAGGAGTAGGAAGGTGTTACAATGAGACTTTATTACTATGTAGTACCCCTTCTCCAGTAAAATCGCTTGGCATCAAAGTTGCAAGCTTAGACACAGCTGGCTAGTGGTTTTGGTATATTGTGAAGAACCTGCGTACATTTTGGATTTATTAATCCCTATATTTTAATTGTCATTTGTCCCCTATATATGTGATGGACATGGACGTTGCATTGCATATTGATATTGGCAAGTTGCCATATTCATTGCATGGTATGAGTTGTTCTTTCTCGGAAGAAACAGCACTAAAGCTTTGTTTACGTGGCTTCAACTTTGGTACCTGAATCCTCCATTCTCTATCTTTTCTTTTAAGAGAATATTAGTAGGCCTTTCTATTTATAAATGTCACTTGTCCTATTTGAATGTCAGAATGTGGTACACATTTCAGTAAAGACTTGTAGAATTACAAATGGATTGTCTACAATATTTCGCACCCAATAAACTTCAAAAATCTTCTTTTTACTATTTAATGCTGTTTGATCCAGTCAATTATGAGTGTACAGTGGATAAAGTTAAATATAATCAGAGTCAGATACTATTTTTTCTTAAATCATTCATAGATGGAGATTGGGTTACACATTTACACTTTAGAATGAAATTAGAATAAAAATAATAGAAAATAAATTAATAAACAATAACTATTTTTTATTTGAACAATAAAAAATAATATTATAAAATTATAGATTTTTGGGGTTATATTTATTTTTTTATAATTAATATAAACTTTTTAATATGATATATATATATATATATATATATATATATATATATATTCTTGCAAACAAACAGAATTTGTTTCTTATTAAATAGCACACCTTTTTATTTTGGTTTTTCTCCTATTTCTATTAGCCTACCCCAATTTAGCCTACTCTCATATTATAGAGATAATCAACCTACAAAATTTTATTGTCTCAATCAAGTATCAACCGAACATGTTAACCCATTATTTATCGTTTCATTTGCATTTGAGAAAGTAGATGGACCTATTGGTATCCTGGAATATGAGTTAGTATCTGGCAGCGTGACACCTACCCTAGGTCTCTTTATTGGTAAGGTAAATACTTAATAACCCTTAGTTGTAGCAGCTAGCAATAGTGGAAGTGGTGGGGCATGGGAAGAGATGGAGCTTTCCTCTTACGAACTCTCTAGATTCTATGGAAAAGAGAAGATGGTTCCACCATAGGAGACTATGGTCGCTTTGTAATTGTGTTGGCCATTGAATCTGTGCGGTTTCACGTGATGTGTCGGTGCCAATGTCATTTTCCCCTCTCCATGCCCCATCCCCAAATGCACCTTCTTGCTTCGTATTAGCATGACAAATATTAGTCAAAATCTTAAGTACTAATAAAAAATGTTATTATTAGAACACTTTCACGATAGTTTTAATGTATTTTAACGTAATTTTTTTTATTTATTAGTTTGTTTTTATTAATACCTTAGCATACTCATACTAATAAACAAGATACTAAAAGTATTTATTACAAAATTTGCCAGCTAGCTGGGAAAGTCGCATTTATTTTGTCCTGTAGTTCTAGTTCATGACCGGCTAGAAGTGCAATCCTTCTCCTCCTCGTGTTATTTTAAAGAAAACTTTCACTAAATATTTGGTGATTCCTAGGTTGAATCTCAAGCTTTTAAGAATTTAATATACGTACTCTTGTTTTTCAATTGTTTCATTAAATATTTGGTGATTTCAAATAAACAACACTTTTCTTTCTATTAGATTTTTGTTCATCAGGACACTCTGAGTGCCATAAAAAAGCAGTAAGTTACGTCAACTTGGTCCCTAAAAATTTGAGTATATACTGGTCAATTTTACAATAAATTTGTTTAAATGTTAAAGGTTTCAAATCTATCAAATCTATGATAATTTAATTCTCTGGTCCATTATTTGTATAACAGATTCAGTTCTCAACTGCAGTCAACTTCAAAATATGGATTGATTTATTATGAAATGACAGTTTGAAAACTAAATTATATACACGTAAGTTTTTGGAGAATACAATTTATTATTTTACAAATGAAATTGGTTTTAATTCTAAACTTATAAGTTGGGGCTTTTACATTAAGTTCAAATGTTTATATTAAATTTAGTTAGAGTATTTTTTTTTAAAATAAACATAAATTACATTAATATAAATTTATTTTAAAAAATTAATTTTATTAAATCAAGTTGATTTAAATTTAAATCTATAAATATTCACTCAACTACATCCTTGGTTGGACCCACATCCCAATGAAATCTCTGACTTGCATTTTAACAAGGTTATTCGGAAGCAAATATTTAGTCCTTTATGATAAGTATGGGAGGGATTTTTTAGAGGATATATTTTTAATTTTTAATTAAAAATCATATATTATTTATGATAATAAATATATAATTAATATATTAAATTTATATCAATATATTAATTTATATTTTTATTTAAAATAAATATTAATTTTAAATATATTTATTTTAAATATAAATTTTATCTTTTTTCTCATCTCCCTTCCAAAATTATTTTCTTAAACAACCTCTTAAAAAGATCAAGATGGATATAATCGTGGCCAATGAAAATGTATTATTATTCTATGATATTACATGTCATCTTAACTGAGTTTTACAATTTAACTTGATATACATGTAGATAACTTCGAAAATGTTACTAATATATTGTTTTAAATATTTTTTTTTATAATTGACCAGTTATTACAATATTAAAATATTTTTACAATACATAATTTACAAAATAAATATTTTGATATTTTAAGCAATAAATAATTATATTAAATATATTAGATAATATATTTATAAATATTTTGCCAAAAATTTTAGCCTCTCCCTGAGTTATATTACCATCTTTATCTCATAGACTATTTTAAATGATTATTTATTAATTTTTACTTTAGTGGAGTTTATAAGTTCTACAGAAATGGAAAAATGTTAAAATTGAGCATATTTTTTATAAGTTTAATTAAATTTAAATTTTTATTTGTCTTGTTAAAGTTTATTATCTGCAATACACTGATTTGAATAGGTCTAATTTAATAAAATGATTCAATTCAATCTAAATCAAATTCGTATATACCTGCGTCTTCAACGTGTGTTCTAAATGTTAAAAAATTAAAATAATTTTTATTCTAAATTTATAAAAAAATTAAGTTTAAATAAGCTATTAGTCTTTTAAAATGTTATTTTTTTTTTTAAATTTTAATCCTTGTAAAATTGAATAAAATTTTTATAGAGATTAAAACAGAGGTGTTATTTTTAAAGATTAATAATTTATTTAAATTTAAAAATATTTAATGTATACTGTGAGGTATCACCAATGAAACAGTCGAGCTCACAACAATTAAATGAAGCACGAGGTCCTGTATCGTATTATGTATTAAGTATGAGTTTTCTTACAATGAAGAAGGCTAACACCAAAGCAGTGTTAGGGATACAAAATTACTAGGAATAACAGAACATTGAATAAAAGAAATCCCAGAGAGGGCCAGAGGAAGGGGAGAACAGATCATAAATCCCACACACCCCCCCATTTCCTATTTTTCTCCTTTTATATTTACTTTAACCCCCAAACGTAATCCTTGAGCGCAGAGTTAGTTACTCTTTTCCTCTCACTTTTGCAGTTCACCATGATTTCATCATTAGCATCCACGTGTCCCACCCTTGTAACGGTATTCCCATGCACTTCCTTTGCCAGTATTTCTTCTGCACTCGTGACATTTCCTCCCCCATAAAAATCAACCTTGTCTCCAAGGTTGAAGTTAGGATAAACACCCTGGAATAAGGATAGATCTTCCCAAGTAGCTTTAGTCATATCCAATCCTTCCCATTGGACCAAAACCTGAGGAATCTGATCGAGCCCACGTAAAATAATTCTGGACTGCAATATCTTAGATGGTTGGACAATAGGACCAAATTCATCAGTCAACAGTGGGAGAGGAACATACGGTTGCTGATGTTCACCTTTGCATGGCTTCAACAAAGAAACATGAAACACGGAGTGAATCTTGGCAGAAGCTGGAAGTAGGAGTTTGTAAGCCACAAAACCAATTTTCTGCAAAACTGGAAAAGGACCAAAGTATCGAAGTCCCAATTTCTGATTTTTGTGCAAAGCAACTGAGTGTTGCCTGTAAGGTTGAAGCTTAACTAGAACAAGATCACCCACGTTAAACTCCAACTGTGATCGTTTCCTATCTGCATATTTCTTCATATAGTGCTGAGCCTTTAGCAAATTATTCTTCAACTGGCGAAGAATTAAGTCACGTTGCAGCAATAAATCCTGCAGAGAGGGAGGGTCTTGATGGTCTAAAGTATACTTGGTGATTGTGGGAGGATCTCGACCATAAACTGCTTTGAAAGGAGTCATACCAATGCTGGACTGAAATGAGGTATTGTACCAAAACTCAGCCCATGAGAGTAACTTACTCCAGCTCTTGGGATTGTCAACTGTGAAACATCGTAAGTACATCTCCAAACATCTATTAAGTGCCTCGGATTGACCATCAGATTGCGGGTGATATGCGGTGCTCATAGCCAAAGTTGTCCCACTCAACTTAAACAGTTGCTGCCAAAATTTGCTAGTGAACACTTTATCACGATCCGAAACAATCGACTTTGGCATACCATGTAATCTAACAATGGAATGCATGAAGATGTCTGCTACCGTCGTGCTTGAATAATCGGCTTTGAGTGGAGCAAAATGACCATATTTAGATAAACGGTCTACGACCACCAGAATCACAGTAAAACCGTGGGAAGGAGGTAAACCAACAATAAAATCCATAGCTAAATCTTCCCAAATCTGTA